ACCTGAGGCGGCTGGGTGGCTGGACGGGAGGGGAGGGGGCCCTGCCCCGTGTCTGGGGGCGGCGCGGGGCCTTGCCCCAGGTCTGTGCCTTTGCCTGTGAGCTAGGGCTGGTTCCAGCTGTCCTTGCCTCCTGCCCTGGGGGATGGGACGGGAGGAGGGGCGGGGCCAGCCTTCCCAGCAGCTGTCCCCCCACCTCCAGACTCAGCCTGCGGAAGGGGATGCGCGTGGACACGTAGAGGGCTGCCTGCCCACGTGGAGGAATCGGCTCTGTGGCCGTGGTGTGGGCCCACCCTGGGGTGGCATTGATCTCCCAGCTGTGTGTGGAGACCTGCCGATCACTTCGTGGGTCAGGAGCTGAGGCGGAAAAAATGCCGGCCCGTTCCCGCGGGGATCCGGGGCCCTTATGAGCGCCGTGGGCAGGTGGAGCGCTGTCGGGTTCTCGGTCCACCTGGGTGACTGCTGCTTCCCTGCTTACGGGGCTCTCTCCCTCCTGGAATCTGGCTGTGTTACTGGGCCAAAGGTCAGGGGTCACGGGAGGCAAAGAACTCAAACCACTTGCTAGCCTGGCCCCACGGGTGACTTCCTGGGCCTCATTGAGGAGACGTGGAAGTCACACTAGGCCGGGCCCTGGCTGTGACCTACCTTCTGCTGTGGGTCTCTGACCACTGCAGCCCATGGCCAGGTGGTCAGAGCGAGCAGCAGGCCACACAGCCAGGCTCCCTGGGCACTGGCCGGGGTGGGCCCACCTTCCGAGCAGCAGGGCCCGTCGTGGCCGGGATGGGCTCCGTCAGGCCTGCGTGAGCTAGAGCTGCTGTGTCGGCCTGGACTCTGAGGAGCCTGTGGGGCCCACCTGCTCCTGGACCCATCCTCCTCCTTGCCCATCACACTGTCCCTCCACGTCACGTCCCAGCCCCTGCCCCTGGGCCTGACCCCTGCCGTGTGTGTCCACAGGAGCGGGACGGCATGCGCGCCATCCTGGGGTCCTACGACAGTGAGCTGACCCCGGCCGAGTACTCGCCCCAGCTGACCCGACGGATGCGCGAGGCCGAGGACATGGTGCAGAAAGTGCACGCCCACAGCTCGGAGATGGAGGTGAGTGTGCGGCCCTCTGGCTCTGTGCCCGGGAGGAGGCCCGGGAGGGCTGTGCGGGACAGCCCAGCAGACCCTCCTCCTAGCGCAGCCTCCACACGCACTGACGCGAGGTGCGCAGGGCGGGCTCTGGCGTCTCCACGCGGGGGGTTCCCTGTCTGCCCGCATGTGCCCCCCTCCCCGTTCATCACGAGGCTGACCGCCTGCACCGCCAGTGCCCTGTGTTCAGGTGTTTTGTATGTCGGGTGACGAGGGCTGGCAGTGTCCTCGAGCTCACTGCAGGGCCCCCCCCCCCCCCACGCCTGCCACAGCCTGAGGCTGTCAGCTGGGGCCTAGCCCTCCCCGTGGGGGTCTGAGGCAGCTGGCGCTGGGCCACCTCTCCGCTGTCTCCACTTCTCCAGTCCCACCTCACGGGGACACTCAGCCTGGTTTGCCTGGGCAGGCCCAGGTCGGCAGAGAAAGTCCCCGACTGCCATGGTCAGCATCGGTCACCCAGCCTTCCCTCTGCCTCCTGGAGGGAGAACCTGGGGAGGGGGTCCCAGGCTTGCTGGCTCCACCACCCTGCTCGGCCATGGCCACAGGAGTGCACGCGCCATCCACACCGGGCCCCGTCACTCCCCCTTCCTCTGGACAGGTGCTGATGGGCCTCCCCAGGCAGGCCGGCCCTTCGCTGGCTCCTCCCCTCCGCCCAGGCCCACTGCCCCCGGTCTTTGTTGTGATGGAGATCCCGGCCCGCAGCTCCTGCTCCCTAGAGCCCTCCCTCCCTGAGGCAGGGTCACCCCAGAACAGCCTCCACGCTGTGGACGCTGCTCAGGGCCCCCCCAGCAAGGGCGCTCACGGCCCGGGCAGCGAGGGCCATGGCTCTGGGCCTCTGGGGCCTGCGGGGCAGGGCGGTGTATTTCTGGCCGTTGGGTCCTTCCCCATACAGCCCCCTCTGGACCCGATTCTGCACAGCAGACCCCCTTCCACAGCGGCCCCCAGGCCTGAGCTGCCGTCTGGGAGCCCCGGGCACGCGGTGGGAGCCGGGCACTCCTGGGCTGGGCCAGTGGGCACTGTCTCCTGGCCTTCGGCGGGTCAGCCCACTGTGAGGAGAGGCTGACCGCCTCCAGGTGTTGCAAATGGTGCTGCACCCCCTGAGGGAATAGAGGTGGTGGCGTCAGACCACTCCTGCTGGCAGCTGCACACCTCCAGGCCCCCACCAGGGGGCAGAAGACAGAGTCGCCCACCCTGCTCTCTCTTGGCCAGGGTGGGACGGGATGTACCCAGGGAGCGCCCGGAAAGGAAGGGGCTGGACAGGACAGGACGGGGCTCTTCCTCCTGCGCGTGCCAGGACCTGCTCTCCTCTCCAAGGCTCTCTGGGACCTGGGCTGGGAGGGTCTCATCCCCTCTCCCCTCCCCTGCCCTGTACCCTCCCTCTCCTCCCCTCCTCTCCCCTGGCCCTCCTGCTGCTGCCCCTCCATCTCCCCTCAGTCTCCGCTGACCTGACTGCACCAGGCCCATGTGCACAGGCCGCGAGCAGGAGGCCCCGGCTGCTCCCAGCCAACGAGGACCAGTGGGACCTGCACGGCCCCTGGTGGGCGGTGGCTGATCTGCCCGGTGCTGAGTGCTCCCCTGGGGAGAAGCTGCAGGGGGTGGGGGGCCACCTGGCACATCTGGGGGGCCAGGTGGGTCTGGTAGGCTGGGTAGCGATACCCCCTGTAGGGTCCGCAGGGTCCCCTGCTCCTACAACACCCAGGACCCCAGTCCAGGCCCCCAGTCCAGGCCGTGCTGGCTGCCACCACAGGGGGCGCTGCTGTCAGGGCTGCTGGCCAGGTTAGGACCCAGGGTCGAGTCAGAGGGCCCGGCCAGTGGCAGCCAGAGCAGGGCAGCCTCCTCTCGAGGAGAAGGGGCACGGGAAGTGCTCCCTCATCCCTGTGCATCCAGCGGCCTGAGCACCGGGGCGGCCTCACACGGCCCTGCAGGATGCAGCCTCCAGGCCAGGACCAGCCCCTCACAGCACACAGACGCCTAGGGAGGCCCCGCTGACCCTCGGCCCACGGTGCTGACCCTCGGCCGTGTGCCTCTGCCCCCGGGCCGGGCTGCTGTCTCTTTGCAGTTGAGGGGACTGAGGCCAGGCCTCCAACTCGGCGGGCGCAGGCTGTCCCTGGAGCACCAGTGTCAGCGGGGGCGGCCACGCTCCAGCAGCAACCCTGAACCTTCCTCCCCAGGCCCTGGGTGCCACCCCCATCACCAGGCTGGGCTCTGCCTTCCTGCTCCCCGGGGTCCCTTAGTGGGCAGAGCGCCCTGGAGGGCCTGCAGCTCCTGGGGCAGACGGGCCCTTGCACGGGTCGCCCAGTCCCACCCAGCCCTGCAGCCCCGAGGAAGGAACAGGCTGGGAGGTGTCCCGGCTTTGTCCTCACCCCCAGGTCGCTCAGCCACACGCTGGACTGCAGCCCCTGCAGCCCTGGGTGGGTGCCCTCCAGGCCCCAGGAGGGCCTGTCCTCTTCCTGGTCAGTAGGCAGAGCTGCATGCCAGCCTCTGAGCACGGCCCCCACCCGGAGAGCTGAGCGCTCTCGGCGCTGCAAGCAGCCCATTAGCTGAGCATCGGGTATTGACAAGTAAAGTCATGTAACTGCACAGACTCATTTGCTAGTGGTGCCATAGTGCCTTGCAGCCAGCTCATCCGTCACTCGTGCCCGCATGCGAACATCTGTGCACTCGCGCGGGGGCCTGCAGGGAGACGCGCCGCCACGGCTCCCTCCCACGCCTGGCCTGTCATTGTCCGAAAGGCAGGGCCCAGGGCCTCCGGGGGAGGGATTGTCACTGGCCCCGCGGGAACTCCAGTTGTGCTAACGGAGGTGGGGACACCAGCTTTTCTCGCGCTCTACCACCTCCGCCTTTGCTTTTCTCCTTCCCTAGTGGTCTTCTTCCCTCCTTCCTCGTTTCCTCTCTGTTCTCTGTTCATGTCTGCCTGTCTATAGCTTTGGCCCTCTTGCTCTCTGCTCTCTCACCGCGTTTCTCTGCCCCTCTCTCCCCCATGGCCTCTCCCCCGTCCCTCAGGCCTAGGCTCCTGTTCTCACGCAGGGCCAGCAGCTTCCCCCGTGAGGGGCCAGACAGGGAATACAGTGGGGCCTTGACTTACGAGTTTAATTCGTTCTGAGGCCGAGCTCGTTAAGGAGCTCGTTAAGGAGCTTGTTAACTCAAATTACTCTATCAACTCAATGCAAAAAATCGGCCGAGAGACAGCTGGTATCTCAAAAAACTCGTTAGTCTGGACACTTGTAAGTCAAGGCCCCACTGTACTGTGGGCCGGGCGGCTCCACGGGCTCGGGCCGGGCCACTCAGCTCTCAGCTGCATCTGGGAGCCGGCTGTGGGCCAGTCAGACTCACTGACAAAACGGGGGGCTGGGCTGGGCGCAGGCTGTCGAGGGCACAGCCCTGTCCCGTGTTCAGGGGACCTGCTGCTGGGTGAGGCGCAGGACGGCCAGGCC